GTTATGATTCAGCATCTAAATTAATGAAAAAAATAGAAGATGAACTAAAGGTATGATCAAAACTATAAATTTACTGTAATTATTTTTCAATTTTTTAAAAGTATAATAAACTTGAACATTTTATTAATGACAGGACCAAAAAAATGACGCAAGCAACGCATGTAAAGATCTTAAAGATGGGATTGAAGAATGGAAGAAACAAAAAATTTATGATGCTGAAAAAGAAATGTTAATTGCTGTTTTTGACTTGGCGATACGCGTTGGTACAATTGTTATCAAACCTGATGGCATAGTTGACATTATTAAAACTATAGAAAAAACATCTACCTCTGTTCAAGATGCTCTGAATGCAGCAGATAAAGTAAAGGAATTTATTAATAATAACCAAGATATAAATGATAAAATTCAAAAAATTCAACAAATTGATGATGATTTAAAAAACAATTACAATATGGCCAAAGATCTGAATAATAATGTGATGACAGAGCAAGAAAGAATGGAATCTTTAGACGTTAATGATCTTGCACAAATGTAGGTTAATCCTTAATTAATCAAGATTAATAAAAAGAAGACTTTTAATAATTTTGATAAATTTGATAGCCTCAAAACAGAAGATCGAAAAGGAATAAAAATGAAGGTCGAATGGGAATCAACCAAGAATGGTATTATAAAATTACTTAATTATGTAAGTATAAAATCATCCAAATATGTGTAATATTTTTACAGATACAAATTAAACAAAAAAACCTTTTGTATTAGCCAATTGAACAAGGGATTAAAGGTGCAAAAGAATATAAAGATTCACTAGAAGATTTATTTACCTATATTAACGCATACATTGCAGCAAATAATGAAGAAGCAAAAAGTTATAAAGAGTATTCACGAATCAAATTAGAAGTGGAAGTGCTCAAAAAGAAAGAAGAGAGACTCAAAAAGATGATTGAAAATTATGAATCAAAAGAAGATGATTATGATGAATGTGCATTTTTACTATTTGAATACTTTATTAATGTTAAATGTTGGATGTTGACTTTTCTAGAAAATTATAGATGTGCATACAAATATTGGTCACTTTCTGAATCCGATATTAAACTTTCTGTTAAGAAAACTACCGACCAACACATGCAAGATAAACATATAATTTATCAAGAATTACAAAGCACATACTATAAATTTGGAAATCCACCCCAACCTTCAAAGCATACAATTCGTCTTCCTGCCAACTATACCACAAAATTTATGAGTAATAGATTTATTACTTATGAAATTCCATTGGATCACCCAGAATTTCGGCAGTGTGAGCGTGTTCGACTCATTAATTTTAGAGTATTTTTGAAGGATGTTGGGTCCAAAGATGATGAA